CCCCCTCCCAGGGGGATGGACAACAGAAAAGTGGGTGAATGGAGACATCAGTCAGTGTAAGACATGAAAAAATAATAATAATTTATAAATTATCGAGGGTTTGTGAGGGACAGAGAATGGGGGAGGGAGAGGGAAAAATGAGGAGCTGATACCAAGGGCTCAAATAGAAAGAAAGGGTTTTGAAACTGATGATGGCAACAAATGTACAAATGTGTTTGACATAATGGATGGATATATGGATTGAGATAAGAGCTGTATGAGCCCCCAATAAAATGACTTAAAAAAATAAAATGAACAATGGTTTAATTTAACTAATAAAAAAATCATTCTAATAAGATAAAGGAAAATAACAAGGGCCAATACTAGGTGACTTAACCACTTCAAGACAACTCAGCGGTTATTCCGTAGTACAGATGCTTGCTTCAAACGGTCTGAGTGCAAACCCTGATTCTTCCCACTAGAGAACTTGTGACTGGAGAAATTCTTTAATCTCTCTGAGCCTTGCTTTCCTTCTTTGGTAAAACAAGATAATAACAGTACCTACCTACCTCATAGAGTTATTACCAAAAATAAATTAATTATTGCATATGAAGGTTTTACAAACTGTGTTGGAATGTATCAAGTGCTCCAGAAATATTCATGGAATGAACTGTGTCCCCAGAATACATGTGTTGTAAAGCCTAGCTTCTACGCCTGTGGCTATAATCCCATCTGCGAGCGCACTGCCTCTGCTGTGTTAAAGAGGCAGGATTTGGAGGGGGGTGTGCTTTAATGTTTTCTGAGATTAAACAGAGATTAAACAGGCAAAGGAGAAATGCAAGGAAGGAGGAAGAGAGATGCCAAGACCAGAAACAGAAGTTCAGGGACAAGAGGCTTCCTCCAGGGCCAACAAGAGAAAAAACTTTCCCAAGAGCCAGCACCCCAAATTTGGACGCTCAACCTCCTAAACTGTGAGACAAGAAAATTGTTTGTTAAAGTCACTCTCATCATACTTCAATTAGAGTATTACTAGATAACAAAATTATTAGCTATTATTCTTAATTTCCTTTTTCTTTTAAATATATACATTTTTAAATTTTTGTAACAAAAGGAAATGTCTTACACACTATAAGCAGTGCTTGTCAAAAGCTAATAGTAAATATCACAGTATACAGAGAAATACTGCTGTTGTTTCCATTAAAAGCAAAGAGAGGGAGGAAAGGAAGGCCAAAGGTAGAGCATAAGCATAGAAATGAAAGCGCTACGGCAACTATCTCCACTCATACTGACCTATGGGACAGCGTAGAACTGTCCCTTGAGGTTTCTGAGACTGTCATTCTTTACAGGAGTAGAAAGCCACGTTTTTCTCCCAAAGAGTGGCTGGTGGAATTAAACTGCTGACCTTGTGGTTAGCAACCCAACAGGTAACCACTACACCACCAGGGCTCCTATGAGTTGGGATCAACTTGATGCCAATGAATTTTTGTAAGGCAAAATATTCAGAAGATACCACAATGAGCAGCACAGCACCTACCTTGTCTTCCTTAAGGAGTTTTCCGGGCCCCTTTTCCATGTCTGTAATGGTTGCAAAGAATTTTCCAATACATTTTCTCAGAGTCAGCCTTGCATCTGAACAAAATAGAAACTTAAAATGATCATGGTCAAGCAAAGACTAAACAACTAGGCATAACTGTTTGGAATGTACCATAATATCCAGAGTTTTAGTAAGTGTGTAGGAAATTTGTTGCGGTTGTCGTCAATGAATTTCAACAAAGGTAACACTCAGTTGAAGCGCTGTGTTCCTGGAATGGTGCTTAATGTTTTCAAGAACAATGTAGTATATAACATAGTTCCCCTACTCCCAAAAAAGCCATATATCCTATTAAAATGTCTATTCTGGAGAAAGAGCAAAAAACATTTCCTCTAATAGACAAACTAATTTGATAATCTTTCTTGACCATAACTGAAAATAAACTGAAAAGTAGTTTTCCTCTTTTAAAAAAATAGCGCTTACATTTTTAAAAATCATTTTATTGGGGGCTCGTACAACTCTTATCACAATCCATAAATACATCCATGTGTCAAGCACATTTGTACATTTGTTGCTATCACCATTTTCAAAGCATTTTATTATTACTTGAGCCCTTGGTATCAGCTCCTCGTTTTTCCCTTCCCTTCCCCTCCTTCCCTCCCTCATGAACCCTTGAGAATTTATAAGTTATTATTATTTTTCCATATCTTGCATTGTCCGATGTCTCCCTTTACCCCCTTATCTGTTGTCCATCCCCCAAAGAGGGGGTTATAGGTAGGTCATTGTGATCTGTTCTCTCTTTATCCCCCCCACCTTCCCCTTACCCTCCTGGTATGGCTACTCTCAATATTGGTCCCGAGGAGTTTATCTGTCCTGTATTCCCTGTGTTTCCAGCTTTTATCTGTACCCATGTACATACTCTGTTCCAGCCAAATTTGTAAGGTAGAATTAAGGTCATGATAGTGGGGTGAGGAAGCATTAAAGGACCAGAGGAAAGGTGTATGTTTTATTGGTGCTATTCTGCATCCTGACTGGCCTGTCTTCTCCCCATGTCCATTCTGTAAGGGGATGTCCAGTTGCCTAGAGATTGGCTTTGGGAATAGCACTTATATTAATACCATTCATAACAGCACCACAAGAATGTTATCACAAAATTGTCAATATCTGTTTTTAATAAAACTATAATAATTTCTATGAAATCCAGGACAGGTAAATCTATAGATTACTTATTGATTACAGTAACTGGATTAGTGGTTTCTTGAGGATATGGCAAGGGAGATTGGGGAGAAAAGGGGGCTAGTAACAATGAGTACAAGGAAGAAAGTGTTCTAAAATTTATTGTTGTGATAATTGCATAACTCTTTTTAATATGGCCAAACTATTGAATTGTACAATATGTGGATGATATGCCAAAAACTTGTAATAAAAAACTATAATAATTTCCTGAGAGATGTAGAAGGCTTAAATAGAGAAGCATACCATACTGTGAAATTGGAAAACTAAATATTATAAACTATAAATATGTCGCAATTTAATTTAAAAGCTGGTATATTATTTTCCTATTGCTCCTGTAACCTGTGACCACCACTAATTTGGTCTCTTAAAACAACACAAATTTATCCTCTTACATTCCTGGAGGTCAAAATCAGTTTCATTGGACTAAAGTCAAGATAACTCGCAGGGGTGATTCCTTCTGGGTGTTCTGAAGGAAGAACCCATTTCCTGGCCCTTTACAACTCCTAATAGCCATTGTATCCGTTGGTTTGTAGCTCCTTCCACCATCTTGAAAGAACACAACTTAAATCTTAGCTTTCATCATGACATCACCTTTTCCTCTTCTGTGTCAAAGTTCTTCCCTCAAAGGACAATGTGATCACATTCAAGGCCCATTTAAATAGTCTGAGATAAGCTGTAAGTTTAAGATATTGCTAGTTTTAGCACATCTGCAAAGTTCTTCCTATGACATAAGGTAACATTCAAGAGTTCCAGAGATTGGGACCTAAGAACCTAAGATCACTCACCCTATGTTTATATAAATAAACTCATTAAATCCCAAACAGGAATTTTTGATAAACTTGTTGAAACCACTCTAAAACGCAATTTGGTCACCTTTAGCAAGTAACTTTTCTCGTTCCCATTTGCCTATCTGTACAATGCATTACAAAAGCACTGTTTAAATTAATCTTTGACAAAGGCATAAAACAGCATTAAATGGGAAACATAGGATTTCTTTCTTCAACAAATGGTGCTGGCAAAATTGGATCTCCATCTGCAGAAGAATGAACCCAGGACCCAGACCTCACCCCATTAACGAAAAGGAACTCAAGATGGATCAAAGGCCTAAATGTAAATCCCAGAACTATAAATATCATCAATGTGGAAAAAAAGGACAGACTTAAAGGCTCTAGTGCAGAGCATAGACACTAAACCAAATATAATGAAGGAAATATACAGAGTAGAAGACAAAATAGATGACTGGGACCTACTAACTACATGACACGTGTGTGCATCAAACGACTTTATCAAGCTGATATAAAAGGCTCAAGTAGAAAGAAAATGCTTTGAAAATGATGATCGCAACATATGTTTGTACATAGGCTTGTGCTCGACACAATGAATGAGCATATGGATTGTGATAAGAGCTGTAAGAGCCCCCAATAAAAGTAATTCATAATAAAACAAAGTCTTCATCAAGAGAGTAAAAAGTGAACCCACGGACTAGGAAAAAGTTTTGACAAGATAACAGATAAGGGACTAATCTCTAAAATCTATAGAAAACTCCAACACCTCAATAAGAAAACGATGAATAACTCAATTTAAAAATGGGCAAAAGACATGGGCAGTTCACTGAAGATGTCATCCAAATGGCCCATAGACATGAAAAGATGTCCATGATCGCTAGCCATGTGGGAGATGAAAATCAAAATAATGATGAGATAACACCTTACGCCAACTTCCTGTTTCCTTGGCCCTCAGATATCAACGTGGTTCGGTCTTTCAGTTCCTTCACGTTTGTACTCAAGCACCACCTTATCAGAAAGGCATCTCTGACTGCACTCTCTAAAGCAACACATACTTACGCACTTGTTGGCAAGTTCCTAACCTTCACTCTCTCTCTGGCTCCTTTTTCTCCATAGCACTCACAGATTTCCATGGATGTAATTATCATCTGTATCTCCATACTAGAAAGCAAGGTGAAGATTCTTTTTTTCAATCACCTGCTCCTTGAATAATATTTAGCACATAAATTGAATTGATTTCAACTCATAATGACCTTATATAGAGTTTCCAAGGCTGTAAGTCTTTACAGGAGCAACCAGCTTCCTCTTTCTCGTGAGGAGTAGCTGATGGGTTTGAACTGTGGCTAGTAGCCCAAAGATCAGCACACCAAACTCACTGCCATCGAGTTGTTGCTGATTCATGGCGACCCTGTAGGGCAGGGTAGAACTGCCCCTGTGAGTTTCCATGACGGTAACTCTTCAGGGAAGTAGAAAGCCTTGTCTTTTTCCTGCAGAGCTGCTGGTGGTTTTGAATTGCTGACCTTGCAGATAGCCGCCCAACATGTAGCCACTATGCCACCAAATCCCGATTAGCACATAGAAGGTACCAAATATTAGCTATATGAACATTTACACAGGATTTCTATGCTTATAATATTTCTTCAACTTTAGATGCCCTTCCATGTGCCACCTACCAAAATTCTACCCATTCTTCCAGGTCTGGCACTTCCTACTTCTCTCAAGTTAGAATGCTTTTCTCTTTCAACTATTGCATGATTGTAATTTGAGTTAGCTCTTATTTTAGTCTATCTTGTAATATTTATGATCTTATTCTTTGCTTCTACATTGGAAGTTCCCAGAAGTCAAGGTCTGTTCTCAATGTTTTATCATGTACCATGCTGCCTTTCCTCATCAAATAAACCAAAGGAACAAAAGGAGGGACTTAAAAATTTTGTGGAAAAATTCCATTGTCTTTTCATTCCAATTTTCCACAAACTTTATGAAGCCCCCTCCTACGTGAAAAAGGAGAGAAACACCCACGATTTGTTGAGCTATTTCAAGGGAAGGCATTCAACAGTGAGAAAAGAGAAGCAGCCAATGTTAGGACGTGTGAAAATGGTATACTGCTAACTGTACATTGAAGGGACAAATAAAGCTGCCATACTTCAAAAGAAGGGTTGGAAGGATATAAGGAAATTGTTTCCATAAAATTCTATTAATATGATTACTGTCTGAATTTATAAGCTGATAGAATATTAGTAAAGTCTTTATTCCTGCACAAATTTTAATAGCCCAAACATCCTGGCAAGCAAACAAGAAAAGTATAAGAAATCCAAGGTAACTGACCAGGTGACACCTTTTGGTTCCAATGTGGTTCTTTATGATGTCACTGAGCTTATCCCTCCATCCGTATGCCTCATGATGTTACAATGATCACTGGTGTCTATTTTTGCTGACTCACAAGATCTGATATGCCTCGAGCAAAGCAATTTGGGGGCTATATATATTTTTCTCCAATTGTGAAAGATAATGTCTATTCAAGGACTAGCTGTGATTTCTTCTTTGTTGTTTATCTGCTTCTTCAGAGGGAGGTTCTGCATTTGTGATGGAACTATCTGGACAAAGGTTGGATGGGAGATTTTTCCAGAAGAAGTGCACTACCCAAAAGTAACGCCTACTCAGTCCCACTGCCTACCCTACCCTCTGAACAAATTATGCTGCAGTTTTGCTAATATGGATCTATATCATGGTTCTTTGCATCTGTTTTATATTCTTGTTCAAGCTCTCATTTTAATCCTATTTGTTTTATCTGTTCATTACCTGTGGATGAAATGGAAGAAACACAAAAAGAAGGTGAATTAGTGATGTAAATAATAGTTACAGAATCTAAGAAACTTTAAGACATAAGCCTCTTTAAAGGCAGGTACTATGTCTTATTCATCTCAACCTTTCGCACTTTCCCTAGTATCAAGCACAGTGCCGTGAATATACTAAGAACTCAACAAATGTGCATTTAATTAGAAAGTTTAAGACTTTATAGCCCAATCCCTCTTCTTCAAGTTACAAAGTAGATCAAGAAGGTAGTTAGCTATGATAAGTAGAAGGTTTATAAAATGGAATTATTTGACTTTGCCCTGATGGCCATTTAATCTTTCTCAGCTGTGTCATCCATAAAATGAAGAACCTGGATCCCTTCCAGATACAAGAAGGTGAAATATGAAACAGTTGGCAGTGCATTTTGTAAAAGGACTGTAAGCTAATTTCTAATGATAGGATAACTGTCTAGGGAATGGAGCTCCTAAACCATTTCTCACCTTTGCCAATGGATGCCAACCATATTTTGTGGCACTTTAAAAAACTCATCGACATTAAAAGCAATTAGATGTTTGTGTTTTATTATCTTTAAAGTGACTACAACTTTTTAATATCAGTATCCGTGAGGATACTTGCTGTGGGAATATAGTTTGCAAATTTTAAACTAATTCCTCCCAGAAGAATGCTCTAATCATAGAACTAATTAAATATTTACTGATGTAATAATTGTCACTAAAGCCTTATTTGGAGCACATATAAAAGAATATTTCTTCTGTACTTTTATCTTTCTTCCATAGTGACCTTTCTCTTGTAAAAATTGGTGTGTAAGGTATTTTGATTGTATACAAGTTTATATATTTTTAAAAGCTTCAATTTGAACTACAAAAAAGAAAATATATGTAATATCATTTGTTTTTCTCCTTTTAGCTGAAAACACAAGTCTCCTTAGATACCTCTGGGAATGATCTAGAAAGCTTGTCCACCTATGACATTGACCAAATACTCTGCAGACTGTTGGCCACGTCAATGATGACAAAGTACCTGAAGCAAGCTTCCCATCGTCCTCCCGCTAAGAAAGTTAAGCATCCCCAATCAAAGAAGAAGAAGGAAGGGAAGGAGCCAAAAGCTACTAGACATATACAAATGCAAATATAGCATCTGGAGATTTCAAAAGAGATAGACTGAGAGGACTCCTCTAAGGGTGAAAATTCTTCTTTGGGAGGCTTTGTAATTTTGGTCACATTCTTGAATGAAATTGTCCAAAGAAGTCAGGGTTGAAAAGTTATTTCCTTCCAGCAAAAAAAAAAAAAAAGGGAATCCAAACTTACTAAAGGGGAAAGGCTACAAATGATCACTGCTACCTCTTTCAGTATTTGCTTCTTTTTAAAGTGTTAGACTACTAGGGATTGGCCAATCTGTAGAGTAGAATCTAAGCATATTGTTTTAATAAATATCTGATATAAATAACATATGTAGATTTGCCTAAGCATACTTTATGTTCACACGGAGGCTTTTAATCCCAGCTTAGTTGGCCAAGACTGCATGAAAGTATGAGGAAACAGAGCAGAAATCCTTAGATACCTCTGGGAATGATCTAGAAAGCTTGTCCACCTATGACATTGACCAAATACTGTGCAGACTGTTGGCCACGTCAATGACGGCAAAGTACCTGAAGTGCTTTTCAGTGTAAAGAATGCAGTAAAATAGCTATCAATAATTTTAAGTTTTCAAAGATCTGTGGATCAGCCACATCAGTTTAGAAAACTACAGTTACTGTATTTTTCTAATAAAAACTGAGGGGGGGGGATGCAAGTAGAACAGCAGATGTGATTTAAAGTATTTTGAAAAATCCAGAAAAACATGCTATATCCATAAGGGTATGGAATACAAGGAAGACAAAAACATTTAAACCATCTTTGAATAATAATAAATGACTATCTAGTCTTTACAAGTGATGAAAATGAGCAGTGTCTATCTTGTGCAATATGGATTAATACAAGCTTATTTCTGGTTCCTTGTCTACACCCTCTTCCACACCGGGGCCCTTGTTTACCACAACCCCACCCTTGCTCTTCCATTATGTTCTATTCAGTCCCTTCAGAGTTTGAGCTAACAGAACTAATTCCTTCTAAAAGGGCACATACAAAGCTAATTCCCAAAGCACTACTGCAGAATCATAGAAACCTTTCAGCAAAAATGTAAAAACGTGAAGCATTGATTCCCAACATCTCCTCCTCTAGGTCGATGCCCTCCACACCACGTCAAACGGCAGTTTGGACCTCATTGAGGTTGCTCACACGGTGCTGCTTGAAAATGTTTTCAGAGTCTGGGGAACAAAAAGAAGCCTCAAGGGGCAAGATCGGGGCTGTAGGGCTGATGGGATAAGGTTTTCCAATGATATCCTCAGAGGATGGCCTTTGCTACCCTACAAGAATGCACTCTCATGGTTTTTGAAACAGATTCCTCAGCACAACTCCTCTCAACAACGCACTTTCAAATTTCTTAAAACTTCTTCATAATAAGCCACTCTGGTGGTTCTGTGTGTTTCAAGAAAATTGATCACCCCTTTGTAATCTAAAAGACAGTCTCCACAGCCACCTGAGCTGGCTGCACTTGAACTAGCCAGCAGATCTCGGACCTCTTTGTGAAGGCAGCCTAACAAGGTCCAGACAAGTGGATAACTTGTCTCCAGCCACCCTCTGACTTCAGAGGGACACTTAGGTGTGTTATGTTTGGAACAAGCCTCTGCGTGTATGAACCGAAATCCTTACAGCAATGCTTTCTGAGTTACCTGCGTGTGTACTTCTTTAAATGAAGAACTCCTGAAGACTTGAATAACAAAACAAAACAAAAACCCAGTCTCAAGAATCCAGAGAAAATATTTTGTAATAGCTCTAGAAACTAAAGTTGAAATCTTAGCAGTACAGACAAAACTCCCTAGAATATGGCATCCCCAACCCCTGAAATCGCCTAATTACTAAATCTGAATTAAATGCTAAATTTTATGTGGAATGGTTTAGATTTTGACATTCTCTATATTACCACCAAGTTTCAAATCACATTCCATCAGCAATCTGTAAACAAGTAAGCTATTTTTTATAGTTTGGGATTTTTTTAATCAGTCCATGGACTGATCATATATAATGTGGTTTTGGGGTTTGTTTTTTTTATTGCCATGTGAGGTATAATTCCTCCACAAGAAGCTCAGGCCCCAATGAGCCCCCCTGCAGCAGAAATGTAAAGGTCTCTGCACCTCTAACGATCTGCAGTTTCAGAAGCCCAACGTACAGGGTTGCCGTGACCCGGACTCAGCCCAATGGCAGAAAGTAACTAGTGGATGTAGCGAAGGAAATCACCACTGAATCTCCAAATCTGTAAGCCCTAAATTCACTGTGCTCAAAAGATGCTACAGCAAAATTTGTTCCTGGATGGTGACTTAGATGTCAGAGGGAACATGAATTCTTCAAAAAATGGATTTTAAATTATGGCATGTGAATTACACTTAAGACAATTTCATAGCCAATCGAAGAACTGTTTGCTTTTTGTTTCACTAATAGATCTAATCATAAAATAAAAAATCTTAACATCTAGAAAGAATGTCCCTTAAACAGCTTTTAGTACAATGGACAATCACCTATAATATACAAAATAAAACTCACATTTTCCTTTCTGTACATGCTTCCTTCCCTTTGATTTCCCTAATTCTATCCATCTTTCTTGGCTCAAAGCAGAGAAAACCAGAAAGTTTTCACTTGGGTTTTATTGACTACTTAGAGCATAGCTAGCTATGGATGACCTTGAGAAGAACGGGACTTACAGAGCACGTAATTGTGCTCCCGAGGAATGTGTCAATGGATCCAACGCAAACAGAAGAAGGGAATTCCGTATGGTTAAACATCAGGAAAGGTGTGCAACAGGGTTGCATCCTCTCACCATACTTAAACTGTATGCTGAGCAAATCATCAAAGAAGCTGGATTATATGAAGAAGAATGTGGCATTAAGATTAGAGGAAGGATTATTAACAATCTGAAATATGCAAATGACACAACCTTGCTTTCTGAAAGTTGGGAGGACTTGAAGCACTTGATGAAGATCAAAGATTGTAGCCATCAGTATGGATTATAACAATGTAAAGAAGACCAAAATCCTCGCAACTGGATCAGTCGGTAACATCATAATAAATGGAGCAAAATTTAAATTTGTCAAGGATGTTGCCTTGCTTTACTCCACGATTAACGCTCATGGAAGCAACAGTCAACAGATTAAAAGATGCATTTCATTAGGTAAATCTGTGGTACAAGACCTCTGTGGAGTATTAAAGAGCAAGCCTGTTACTTTGAGGACTAACGTGTGCCGGACCCAGGCCATGGTTTTTTGTTTTGTTTTGTTTTTTTTGTCATGGTGTTTTCAATGTGTTCAAAATTTTCAATTTTCATAAGCATGTGAAAAGTTAGATATTAAATAAGAAAAAACAAAGAAGAAGGGGAGTGTTTCAATTGTGGTGCTAGGGAACAATATTCAAAGTACCATGGACTGCTAAAAGGACAAACAATTCTGTCTTGGAAGAAATACAGCAAGAGTGATCCTTAGAGACAAGGATGGTGAAACTTTGTCTCTCAAACTTTGGACATGTTGTCTAGCGAGGCTAGTCCCTAAGAAGTGAACTCTCGCTGCCATCCAGTCAATGTTGATCATAGCGACCCCCTGTGGATTTCTGAGACTGTAACTGTTTATGGAAGTAGAAAGCCCACTCTCTCCCGAGGAGTTGCTGGTGATTTCGAACTACCAACCAGGCGGATCACAGCCCAAAGCATAACCACTATACCACCAGGCCTCCTAGGTAAAGTGGAAAGGCAGCAAAAAAGAGGAAGACCCTCAACAAAACAGATTGAACAACAAAAAAGCCTCATTCTGTAGACACCATTCGATAAACTGACAATTTTCTAATCTGCACAGTATCTATTATATATAGTTTTAGGCCAATAATGAAAATTTAAAGGCAAATGGCATATATTACTATCAACAATAACTGTAGTATCTACAAATAAAACTGATGAGAGATGAAAATATCAATCATCTCTTTGCTTTGCTGAAGACATAAGCCTATATTTCAAAGAAGAAAAGTAAACTAAATTAATTACTTTTTCAACACCTTGTAAACTTTCTTACCTGCCCAATCCAGGAATTCAACACATTCAGTCTGGGAATACCGAGCAGCGACATCTCGTGCAGTTTCTTCCCGGAAATTCAGAGCTGCTATATCAACATCCAAATCCACTAGCACTTTCAAAGTTTCTAGCCGACCCCAAGCTGCAGCACAGTGTAAGAGTGTATAACCTAACAAACAGAACAAAAACGGTAGGTTATACTACACTACAATGTGTTAGGCTACTTTATGCAATCAAATAGTATCAAGTATTCATTATGTTCTAAGTGATTCTAAGTGCTTTATATCGTTGCTCGTTGCTGGTTTCATAATAACCTTGTGAGGATGGAACAAATACCAATCTTCATTTTATAGATAAGGAAACTAAAGTCCAAAGACGTTAAGAAACTTATCCAAAGAATACAGCCAATGAATGATGGACCCAAGATACTAACAAAGACTGTGTGAAAACTCAGCTCTCGGCACCTTCTACGGAAGATGGTAATTACCTGTTCTTACCGGATGCCATCAAGTCAATTTCAACTTGTAGCTACCTATGGACAACAGAATAAAACCCCACCAGTTCCGCAGCATCCTCCCACAGGTGGCTGTGTTTCATCTCAGTGTTGCAGTACCTGTGGCAGTCTAGCTCCCCAACAGTCTTTTATTTTAGAACACAGCTTGCCCCATGATTTTAGTCTAAGGAATTTCATCAAACTCTAATTACTCTGGCATTCTCATTAATGCAAGTAAACAAAGTACTACAACTGCATATACCTTTGGTTTGGGAGGCAATCATGAATTGAAATTGAAATTAGGAGCTGTGACATTAAAAATATATTTCTTAGATTTACTGAGGTGACTGCCATCAGATAAAGCTAAAAAATATTGGAGGCATATTTAGAATATTTTCAGATTTAAAAAAAAAATCAAGCCAAAGGTCATTTTCATTTAGCAGAAACAATATTTTAGCATTCATACTTATGATTCACTAAATTGGTGAAAGGAGAAAGTACTCCTACAAGAAGTATTGAGCAAGAGAATGAACTTTTACTTAATTCTAAGCACTTTATATGGTATTGTACTTACTCCTAATAAACCTGTGAGATAGATTTAATAGCCCTGAGTTTTAAAAGAGAAATATTTTCAAAAGCAAAAATTCATTAAATCCATGTGAACATCTTTAAATTAAAAAATCAAGATTTCTTACGAAGAGAGCTACATATGAAGGAATTTGCAAACATTCTTTTCTTCCCTTCTTCAAGATGGTCTATTAGAAAAAATATATATACATATTATTGTAGTCCATTAGCCCTATTAACTTTCCAAGAGGAGGAAAGCATTTGAATAAGTTGTTGTTGTTAGGTGTGATCAAGTTGGTTCCGACCCACAGCAACACAACAGAAGGAAACACTACACAATGCTGAGCCATCCTCACTTATGCCTGAACCCGTTGATGCAGCCACTGTGTCAATCCATCTCGTTGAGGGCCTTCCTCGTGTTCGCTGCTCCTCCACTTTACCAAGCATGATGTCCTTTTCCAGGGACTGGTCTCTCCTGACAATAAGTCCAAAGGATGTAAGATGAAATCTCGCCATCCTTACCTCTAAGGACACCCTGGCCATACTTCTTCCGAGACAGATTTGTTTGTTCTTTTAGCAGTCCTGGGTACTTTCAATAGGTTGTTAATAAACCTTCCTCCCATCCTGCTGCCACTTCAGTCTTCATATAATTCAGCTTTTTGATTATGTGATCAGGATCAGGTTGAACAAGCATTGTGAGAGGCTACAACCCTGAAGCACACCTTCCCTGATTTTGAACCATGCAGTATTCCCTCGTTTTCTTCTGCTCCTTGATCCATGTACAAATTCCATAGGAGCACAATTTAACTGTGATGCCAAAAAAGCATCCAGTTCAGGAAAGGATTATCCTACAGTTCTCATAATAATTGCAACAAGTTTTGGACCCCATAAGGGGGAAGCATAGTGGGTACCCTAGCAGGGAGAAGGGATTATAAAGTATTCATGAAAGGGATTCTTTCAGAAGAAACAAAACAGAACCAATCTCATTGTGAAAAACTGAAAACATTTTTTTTCTTTTTAAAATGTTACTGGGGGCTTGTACAACTCATAACATTCCATACATACATCCATTGTGTCAAACACATTTGTACATTTGTTGCCATCATCATTCTCAAAACATTTGCTTTCTACTTGAGTCCTTGGTATCAGCTCTTCATGTTCCCCCTCCCTCCCTGCCAACCCTCCCTCAGGAAGAAACCCTGAAAACGTAATCCCTGATGCTATTGAGTGGATCACAACTCCTGGAGAACACATGAGTGTCAGACAAACTGAACTTGAAAGGGTTCTCAGTGGATGTAACTTTATGAAAGAGAAATCACCAGGCCTGACTCTGTGTGTGTGTGTGTGTGTGTGTGTGTGTGTGTGTGTGAACTTGAAAAAACTTGAATGGTTGCATAACTTGTAATCACGTGTCACTGAATTTCACATGTAAAGAGTGTTGAATTGAAACATGTTCCGCTGTGTGTGTTCTCAGCAACAACAAAAGCATCTCCGGCCTAGGCCAAGATCTATAGATGTCCAGAACCTAGAAATTGATAGGATTTGTCCATAGTCTTTTTTTAAAGGCCAAGAAGTAATTGTGCAACTAAGAGTAGTACTATTTATAGGACCTGGAGGTGTCAAAACTACTTCACATTGCATTTCTCAAAACACAAACATATAGTTTGATTAAAATAAGAAGTGAAGCTCTGATATTCAATTCTGTATGTTTATAAGCTTCATTTGCTCCATTTTTCCAGGTAACAAGGCCATGAGAAATGACTCACCATCCAAATAAGAAAGTGACTGACACACCTTAGTGTAGTTTATTATTTTATAAGAATAAAAAAATGAATGCCAAATTCACTCACATATTCATACTTTCTTCTGTAGAATCATCCTCATGGAGTGCCATATTATCATCACATATAATCCCCAGAATTATGCCTGATTTATTCCCTTCTCTTTAAGAGAACATCTACCTAGGAAACAAGTAGTCTTAGAAAATTTAACTGAGGAAATGTCTGTTTTTCCTATTGCTACTGAAACAAATTTAGCAATTAAAATCAGCATCCACGTATTGCCACGCAGTTCTGTAGGTACAGTGCAATGGATTACTTGCTATGGTTCTTCTAGCCATAGTCTTTGTAACCTACACCATAGTAGAGAAGTGTGGCAGCAGAGACAGCAGCATAAAGCACAAAAACAGAGCAGCAGGCATCCCAGCCCATGGAATAATCTGAGTGTCTTTGGGCAGAAGGCTTGATTGTGGAGTGTGGTAGCTCCAAGCACTTAATTGGGGGAGCTAAATTCACTGACTCACAGAGCCAGAGTCAAACAAAGTCAGGCTAAGGTGTTTTGCAAACTAGCATTCCCCTTGGGCATTTATTGGCAGCACTAAAAGAACTTTGTAATACTGCCCAGGCAGAGCAGAGGCCAACAGGTGGAGTGGCTGAGAGGCTGAGGACCAGAGATAATGTGTCCCTGAGGGCATGCTGATCAGAGGCTGTTCTAACAGGAAGAAATGTATCCTGAGCATTTCTGATCCCACACTGTACCATGTTCACTTCTCTAGTAAACCCCATAACCATGAGTATTATCTGCGAGTTCTGTGTAACCATTGCAATGAATTTTGCTATGAAGCAGAGAAGCAGAGCATGCCTTAGGAGGGACAGTTGATTTCAGAAGTGATAAAGAAGGTTGGAAAGTAGAGGCATATCTGACCTCTACCTCATAGTAATCAGCCTTGAGCTAATGTTGAATTTGATTCTCCTTCCTTCCTTGTGAAGTTGGAAGAGGTTAGACAATGCCATTTTTATAGGTCACAAACCAAGGAGAGTATGGCTCAGCAGGGTCCTCAGCCTAGTCTCCAATGGTCAAAATCAAGATGTTGGCTGACCTGGTGGAAAATCTACTTCAGAGTCCATTCAGGTAGGCATAATTCAGCTCCTTGCAGTTGAGAGGCTGAGGTCCCCATTCCCTTGCTGGCTGACAACCAGGAGCCCCTCTCAATTCTTTAAGGCTGTCGGCATTCCTCATCATATTACGTTCTCTATGCAAATCAGCAATGACACAGCAAGTCTTTCCCGCACGTCAAATCCCTTTGACTTCTGCCCAATCTCTTCTGATACTAGTTGGACAAAGTTCTCTTCTTTTACAGGTTCAGGTGATTAGATTGAGTCCACCTGCATAATCCAGGATGATCCTTGTATTTTAAGATCCACAACTTTAATTACATCTACAAAGTCCCTTTTGACTTATAAGGTAACATACAGATCCTAGGGATTGGGGTGCAGACACTTCAGGGAGTCATTCTGCCTACCATAGTCTATCCACTGGCCCTGAAAGATTCACATGTTTTCCAAATGCAAAATACATTCACCCCCATTTCAAGGGTCTCATCTAATTATAACATCAAAATGAAGTCCAAAAGAGCTGGCTTCTCAAAGTATACTTGACCATAATTGCACAGATGGAGTAAAGCCTGCAGAAGTAGTCTTTGGGTTCTCAATTTGCTGATGGAGCACGGGTTTAGAATGAGAAGAACCAGCTGCTAACATCAATTAATAATTAGAATTGGAATGTGTGAATCTAGAAAAATTAGAAGTCAGCAAAGCTGAAATGGAATGTTTAAAGATTGATACTCTGAGCTGAAATGGACTGGTACTTGGCCATTTTGAATAAAAAAAATTAGATGGTTTATTGCACCAGGAATAACACAATAAAAAGGAATAGCATTGCATTCATTGTCAATTTTTTTTTATTTTAAGTAAAAAATCTTAAGTACATTTAAAGATCTAGCTTGAAGTTCCATTCTGTCTGTGATAGGATAATACCTATCCTCATACAAGGAAATCCAACTAATACAATGATTATTTAAATTTTTGCACCAACCACAGAAGCTAGTGGTACAGAAATTTAAGAATTCTACCAATGTCTTCAGTTTGAAATTGATCAAGATGCACTGATAATTACTGGCAATTGAAATACAAATGTTGGAAACAAAGAGGAAGGAACAGTAGTTGAAAAATATGGTCTTAGTGATAGAAACGAAGCTGGAGCTAGCACGATAGAATTTTGTAAGACCAACAACTTCTTCATCACAAATACCGTTTTTCAACAACAAAGAA